CTGTGAAATTTCTTCAAAGAAAATCTCATCTAAGTGGGGATTTAGATTAGTTTGGAGTGAATTAGAAAGACAATAAATCTAATATACTCAAACGTTTTAAGATACTAGGTGTGAAAGAAAAAAAAATGTGATTTACGTTATAGCTTGTACAAATATTTTATACACACGTAGAGATATGTATCCATGTACATAAATATTGATGGGAGGGCCATTTGAACTTGTTAATCAGCATGTGCGTCCACCATGGGCATTGGCAATGGAAATTTGGTTGTCATCACTACTGCTGCTTAATTTTTATTTGTCGATCTGCTAATACTAAGAGTATGACGCTAATAACATTCACACTTGTTTTTAATTGGACCATCATGATCAAATAATGTATCAGGCCTGAGTCTGTCTCTATAATGTAATGCAAGTATGTAAAAGAGATGCTGTGATGGACATGGAGAATGAGAAATTTGCCCCAGCCCCACGTGACTCTGTCCCTAATGTCTCCCGCTAGATAAATAAAATCTGTCTTAACTTTGAGGCATTTGTATATAAATTCTTTTATCTTTAAATATTTAAAATTAATTCTTCTAATTTTTAATTTTGTTTTTTGAAGCCCCTTGCCCTTGATTAACTGTCTTATGTTGTTGGCAGAATTTTTCATATCAAATTAATGACATGATATGAAAAAAAAAATATTTTTATTGAATTTTTAACACAATCCAAGGAGGTGCAAAATTGCAATCTTTACTTTTAGCATGTATGATAGTGCTCTATTTTTTTAGTCAAGAGATTTTGTTCTCATTATTCACCACCGTCAATATAATTTAAGAGAAAAATTATAATTTTATTATTTTTCTATTAATTAAAACATCCTTTTATATTGAACAAATAAAAGAAAAATATTCTATTATTGATAAAAAAATTATATAAATAAAATTTTATATTTTAATACAAGAAAAATTTGCATAACAAAAAATATGAATAGAACTAGTGCAGAAATAAATATTTAAAAAATAATATAATTTTTACTCTATTTGTTAAAAAATATAAGATATTTTTAATCAAATGTAATTCTCAATAAAATAGTTACTTACTTATTTTCAAACTATTACTATCTTATATATATATATATATATATATAAAATAAATGTAAAGTGATTTATTCTTTAGAGACACTTTAAAAAATATCTCACATTTTTTATGAATGGAGCATACATATATTACTTGTTTATATAAAATGACACATAAGCTTCTATGTGGCTTTTCTTAACTTGACATGGCAAATTCTTTTAATAACATAACAAAGTAATTAACAGTAAGGGATTTGAAAATTAAAATTAAGTTTTTTTACAAACAATTAAAATTAAAATTGAAGAGGTTTAATTTTAAACATTTAAAAGTGAGAAAATTTTATATAACTGTTTCAAAATTCATAAAGATTTTTTACATTTTAGTAAAATATAAAATCTTGTTTTGAAGATCTTTAAAGATATATCATTAAAAATCTGTAGTTAAACTTTAGGAATTATGAATCAAATTTTAAAAATCAGTTTAAATTAAAATTGAATAATTTGAAAATCTTAAAAGATTATGAAACCTGGTTGAATGCTTCGAAAGATTTCAAAGATTTGGCGATCGTCAAAAATTTTGCCAGCAGTGGCAAGAGGTTGATGTCTTGGTGGCTCCACATCATCCGCACTCAACCTTAGGTATGGGCTATGGCTTACTATTAAGAATTAATGCTCCAATTTAAGAGGATATGGTGGGCCACTCCTGTTTCTCGTCTCATCCTCCACCTCATTCCACCGTCACCCCCCATTCATTTCTCTCTCTCCTTTCCTATTTTCATTCTTTTTAATCAACCACCAATCCGCGTCCCCAAGCATACCTCACTCTTTCTTCCATTTCCCAAATAATAATAATATCACCGTCAATTCAGATTAATCCGTTAATATATTCCTCATGAGACTTGTAAATATGTTCCGTCTTTCAAAATAAAATTCTTTTCTATTCTCAAATAAACGACACTTGTAAATATAGTCCGTCGATGCTGGTCTCCGCTGACGCCTGTCGCTCTAACAAACACTGGTATTTTTTAATACCAGTTATTTTGAATCGTCATTAGCAAATTATCTTTACTTTTTTTTTTCAAAAAAAAATACAGGGCAAAACTTGGAGAACCATCCTCATCTTATGGAATAATTTTACTGCTTCTCCACGGTCGACCTTCTAGAATTACAAATCCGGCTCCAAACTGTTTACAATAATTTTCGAAAACAGGAATGATGGATTGTCTGAGTAATCACGTTCCGTGAAATTAGGAATTAATAAATGGCGAAAGAAATTAGAAAAACAGGATCGTGTCAGGTGATTTGCATTTGAACACTAGGTGGGACGAGTCATCCTCGGGCATTGTCAATTAGTTGACAAGTTGACGGACGAGATGGGCACGGCATTAAAAAAAGAGACGCAGACTTGACGGATTAATTTAGGGGGAATGATAAATAGGTCCCAAGACATACATTTAATTTCAATAAAGTCTCAGAAAAAATTTCAAAGCACGAGGAAGGTCTCAAAGTCCTTGAAGCAAATTATATGAACAAAATTAATTTACTTAAATATCTTTCTTGTTTAATTTTTCAAAATATCATTATTCTTCCTCCCATTCATTCACATCTCAAAGTCTAAAACAAAAATCATGAATTCATGGAAGGTACAGGTCTTACTTGCAACACCCACTCTCAATGATGCTTCATTGAGGGCACAATCCTTTAGCTAAGAACTTCGTTAAAAAATTACAAAGAGGCTTGCAGCCTTATAGTGTGCTCTGATCACTGCTGTCATGTTCTACAAGCCTAGCGACACTTACTTAAACAACCTTGTGAGCCAAGCTCTCTTTGAAGATAGTGTGAATGGCATTATAGTTGGCTCCAACCCAATCCTTATGGAGTAGCCTCTGTTTGAGCTAATATAGAAATCACAGTTGGCTCTGTCCTCACAGTCTCCATGAACTCTGATTGATGTTTATTTAATTTGGGCTTAGATTAACTTGGATTTAGTTAACATGTGTGTGTGTGTGTGTGTGATAGTGATAGTTTCAAATTTTTTTTGTATAGCAACTCTTTTTTTGTTAATCCAAATTGATGCTTTTGTATATGTGAAGTACTTATATGTACAGATGTATTAGAAAAATTGATACATGTAGTTAATATATACAATTCATTTGCAAAGCAATTAAGTTATTATTTTAAAAGAAAGCTCCAGTGATTTGCAATTGAGATTCTCAATTTTGCAACTTCTTTACGAAAAAATTTCAACTTCATTTCAAAATTTTAATAGGAAACATTTTATTGAATGTTTGAAGCTGTAAAGCAAAAAATCAATTTAGTATTCTAAAATAAAACTTTAGTAATTTGCAACTAAGATTTCCATTTTTGCAACTTCTTTTTCAAAAAATTTTAACTTCAATTTGAAATTTTAACATGAAACACCTTATTTATTTTTCAACTGCAAAGCAATCAAGTTATCATTCCAAATGAAAGCTTCAGTAATTTACAATTGAGATTTTTAATTTTGCAATTTCTTTATGAAAAATTTACAACATCATTTCAAAATTTTAATAGGAAGCACTTTATTGAATGTTTAAAGTTGCAAGGCAAAAAATCAAGTTATTATTTCAAGAAAAAGTTCTAATAATTTGCAGCTTAGATTTTCAATTTTGCAACTTGGTTTCGGAATTTTAACATGAAACACTTTATTTGTTTTTCAGTTACAAAGTAATCAATTTATTATTTTAAGAGAAAGCTATGGTAATTTGCAACTAAAATTCCCAATTTTGCATCATCTTTATGAAAATATTGCAACTTTATTTCAAAATTGTAATAGGAAGCACTTTATTTAATGTCTGAAGTTGCAAATCAAAAAATTAAATTATTATTTCAAGAGAAAGCTCAAATAATTTACAACTGAAATTTTCAATTTTATAACTTTTTTTTTAAATTTTACAACTTCAGTTTGAAATTTTGACACGAAACACTTTATTTATTTTTCAGTTGCAAAGCAATCAAGTTATTATTTCAAACGAAAATTTTAGTGTTTTGCAACTAAGATTTTCAATTTTGCAACTTCTTTACTAAACTTTGCAACTCCATTTCAAAATTTTAGAAACACTTTAGTGAGAACAAAATATATGAATTGTACATATCAACTACATGTATCAATTCTTCTAGTGCATTTACATATATAAGTACTTCACATACATGAAAGTATGAATTTAAATTTACAAAAGAGGGGTTGCTATATTAAAAAAAAAATAAAAACATCAACTAGAGTTTACAGGGACTATAAAGACAGAGCAAATTATAATCTTTACACTATCTCAAGTAGAGACTTCTTTATAAAGATTGGGCAAGAGCCAATTATGATGATAGCCACATCATGTTTGAAGAGAGCTTGGCCCACAAGTTTGTTTGGGTAAGTTTTGCTAGGTTTGCAGAATATGACGATAGCGATATCAGTTCAAACTATGAGAATACAATTCTCTTTTTAATTTTTAAGTGAAATCCTTGGCCAAAGGATTATGTCATCAATAAAGTAGCCTTGAGAGTAAGTGTTGTAGGTGAGATATGCATCTTTTATGGTCTCTCGATTTTGGTTTCTGAATTTAAAATGTGAACGAATTGGAGGAAGAAGAATGATATTTTAAAAAATTGAACAAAGGTATTCAGGTAAATTGATTTTATTTATATAATCCATTTTAAGGACTTAAGGACTTTACTAGTGCTTTAGAATTTTTTTGAGAATTTATTGAGATTAAATGCATTTCTTGAAGCCTATTTGTCATTCCCACAAAACTTAGGACAAACGGAGCGAAACGACTTCGGCAAGAACGGTAAAGGGGGTGGAGGAATATCCGCGGCATATGACATGGAAGGAGAATATTCGGCGGGAAGATCCCATGGCGTCCCCGTTTCGTCCCTTAAATACCCGCAAGCTACTCTCTCGCTCCCAACAACTCCAAAATTCCTCCCGTATCCTTCTCTCCTGCCTTCTTCCCTCCCTAATTCCCTAGTCTGACAATGGCTCTCAAGGCCGTTCATGTCTCCGACGTCCCTTCCCTTGATCACGTCCCTGACAACGCCTCTTTTTCCCTTTACTCCACCCGCCCTCCCACCGGTTCGTTCTTCTATTCCCCATCCCGCCTCTCTCTCGCTCTTCATTTTTCATAAAATTAATCAACGTTAGCTGAATATGGCGTTTCCATTGCAGGCGTGGATTTGAGTCGGGGCGGGTCAAACAGCCCTAAGTTTCTGGTGATCGGACACCGGGGGAACGGCATGAACGTCTTGCAGTCGTCGGATCGGAGAACGAGAGCTGCCAAGGAGAACTCCATCGTGTCCTTCAATGCCGCCGCCAAGTTCCCCCTCGACTTTATTGAATTTGACGTTCAGGTCATTTGTTGTCTCATCTTTTACTTTCTGCCCGGTGTCCTGTCCCGCCGATGTTTTTTTTTCCTTTTGTGTCGACGGATTTAACTTCCCTCTGTTTTTTTGGGCCTGACGGATTTAACTTCTCACGTTTCCCTCGACTTTTTATTCTTTCTTGTTTCAAACCTCGATATATTCTTTTCAAGAGATATCATCGGAAATGGAAAGAACGTTAGTTAATTGGTGATTTTAGCGGTGCACCGTCGCCGCGTCTCTCCTTGCCAGTGAGATCCAGATACATCTCGTAGGACTTAGGAGATGAGGGTCGTGGGACCCACCTTATGGATCCCCCTCATCTCATCTGTTCATTAATTTTTTTTTTTATGGGTAGAAGAGGATCTGTTCATTGATTACAACTCATGACATAGTGGTTTTTTTTAATATCAGCTCGTGACATATTAAAATGCAGTAGGCTAGTAGCCCGGAAGGATTGGGTTTTTGCTCCATATTATTGGGCCGGCCTGGTGAATATCTTTTTCGGTAAAAAATGTTTCTATAGTAAATTCTCAGTCGAAAGTCCGGCCCGTGTGTCCTCTTTCGTAATCAAGTGTAATGATATATTGTGCCCCAAAAAGGCGCCGTGGATCTTGCGTTTTTATCATTTTTTTTATCACTAAAATATATATATATATATATATATCATTTTACGGCTGTGCTGATGTGCCACGGGGCTATGTTTTTACAATTTTACCCATTTTGTTTTGGCGGTCTTTTACTCAAACCTGACGCGAGAGCGAATATGATTTGCAGGTGACTACGGATGGCTGCCCAGTGATTTTCCACGATGATTTCATTCTCTCTGCAGAAAATGTATGCTCGTCGTCCTCGCAATTTTTTTTCATTGTCCGCTTCCACTGTTTTCGTCTTGCATCTTTCGTTGATTGTGCTGGGATTTTTCAGGGAACTGTATTTGAGAAGAGAGTCACCGACCTGAGTTTGTCAGAGTTTCTGTCCTATGGTCCTCAGAAAGACGCCGGAAAGCAAGGAAAGCCTTTGCTAAGAAAAACTAAGGATGGAAAAATACTCAAGTGGGATGTTGAACAAGATGATCCGCTCTGCACCCTCCAAGAAGTTTTCCAGAAGGTGGAGCTCACTCTGGGTTTTAACATCGAGCTTAAATTTGATGACCACATTGTCTACGAGGACGAGTATCTCGTTCGAGTCCTCCAGGCTGTTTTGAAGGTATAACACTTGCTTTGAAATGTATTTTGATCCTTCCTAGTCTTGGGAGAACTTTGCTTTTCTCGTGTTTTTCTGGATACATCTCTTGATTCATTGAACCTTTGTGACAGGTCGTGTTTGAGTATGCCAAGGACAGACCCATTATCTTCTCAAGTTTTCATCCCGATGCAGCAAAACTCCTTCGTAAATTACAGAGCACCTATCCTGTATGCTCCTTGCCACTTTATATTAGCGAATAAATTCAGCTATCGGTCGCAAACCTCTTAGTGTCTAATGGTTACTTTTTGGGTCATAACAGGTATACTTCTTGACGAACGGAGGAAATGAACTTTATTATGATGTGAGAAGAAATTCCTTGGAGGAGGCATTAAAACACTGTCTGGAGAACGGCCTGCAGGGAATCGTGTCCGAGGTCAGAGCGGTCTTCAGAAATCCTGGAGTGGTAGCCAAGATAAAAGAATCTAAGCTTTCCTTGATTACCTACGGCAGATTGAAGTATGTCCTCTCACCTGTGTTCTACTGTTCTTGCTTGTTTGTCAATCCTGGCAAGAAACGGATTTAACATGAACTAAGTTTTTCTGGGTTTGTGTCGCAGTAATGTTCCCGAGGCAGTTTTCATGCAACATTTGATGGGGACTGAAGGTGTGATTGTGGATTTGGTCCAAGAAATAACGCAGGCGGTTTCGGATATGATAAAGCCATCAATGGTGGCTGAAGAGGAGGGTATCATGACTGAAGAGAAGAGGAAGGGGAACTCAAAGCCTCAATTCTCTCAGCAGGAGCTGACTTTTCTTTTGAGGCTAATCCCAGAGTTGATACAGATTTAGGCAAAAAAAAAAAAAAATGGAGGTAACCAATAACCATTATACCCTGACCCACTGGTTAAAAACCATTATACCCTGACCATTGTAAATATCTTTTCTTTTTTATTTCCTAAGAAGTAGAGAATGAATGTAACTAGAGTTTGGTTGTCCTCCATATACTCGTGTTTGATTGTATCCCAAATACACGTGGAGTTCCCAATTGAATTGGTGTTGATTTGTGCTGTATCTAATTGCGAAGAAAAAATTTCAATCTTAGGCCTTGAGCTCATGATCATTGAGACCAACATAAACACCGGCAAGCCGGAAGTTCGATATTAATTGAAAATTAAGCAATGATTTTTTTTTTAAAAACTGCTTTGCGACATATCAATCAGCAGTAATAGCTTAGCTTCAGATTTGGCATCCTTTTCTGAACGAAAACTGGATTAATGTTTAAGTGTTTATTTGATTTTTAATTTGTTAGAAGTTTATTTGTTGAAACTCCATTTAGCAAAGGTTGGTTTACTGAAAATAAGTTGTTATAATGAAGTTTATGTTATGGATATATTTTGTAAAAGTTAATTTAACAAATTAAAAATTATTTAAATTAATGATGATTTGTGTTTTTAAAATGTATTTTTAAAGTTGTAATGATTAAAAAAGATATCAATTTATGATAATTTATTATTTTTATTATACAAATGTAATATATTAAAAATATTTTAAAAATATAAAAAATTAAATTAACATAAAATTTAATATATTAAATAATAAGAATAAAAAAATAGATATGTCATTTATAAAAGTAGGTATAAATTATTTATAAGGATGTTATGATTATTTATAAAAGTAGGCACAAAGTTATTAGTCTCACAATTGCTCTCAACTCTTATTTGTAATTTGAATATCCACCAAAAAAAAAAATAGAATTTGCAAATTCACATCTAAACCTGATATCAACCTATATTTAAAAAATCATTTTGCTCATTTGAAAAGCACTCAAACAATTTTTATATTTGAAAAGTTGAAAAATGGATTTCCATGCTAAATGTTGGCCATTTGAACGCTGCTAGAGCTGGGTCACGCATAGAAATCCGTTCGGCTTTTCCCAATCTATAATATTTTTTACTGGGTATGAATCTTTGATTATTAAGATAAACAATGGAGTTTTGGAAAAGTCAATACAAATTATGAATTGTGAATGACATAATAGATAGATCGATGTAGAATGTGGGATAGCTATAATTATTTAAATTTATATCTTTAATTATTAAAAAGGCATAATAAATTTATTAAATATTGAGATATCAATTAAACCACCTCATAACCATTAAGCACATCCGCACATGTATTCTATTAGTTTTGTGTAATGACTCTTAACAATTTTTCAGAGAAAATGACATTTCTAAAAGCATTTAGCAGAAAATTCGATAGCGTTTGGGCAACCCGTAAGATATTAATTATAGCTGTTAATTATTATTGATGGTATAGATTTTTTAGAGTTACAGTTAGAAGCCCTATTGGGCCTATAAATTTCATAAAGATAAAAGTCAAAACAGTCTAGGGGAGCCCCAGCTAACAACGACTGATCAATACTATGAGCTTCCTCAGCCATAACGTCAGCACATCCATCATCTTATGCATTCATAAACCACACCACCAATGCTAATTGAGCTGGCTCACACCATCTTGTTTTGTCTTTTGTATTGGTGATCCATAATTTATTATCTGATTTTTTTTTTTTGGGGTTTAGTTAATCCCTCGTTTTTCCTTGGAGGGTAGGGGATGGATCAATTCTGTGGGGGGTAATGGAGTTTGCTCAGATTCCAAACCAATTCCGTCCCTCCTCGTTCTTTTGTTTTTTCTGGGCCAGACCCTTTTTCTCATTATTGTCGCTATGTGCTCATCTTTTCTTTCTTTTCCTTGCTAACCCCTGCTTCCATCTTTCTGCCCTAAAAGGTAGATTTACTTCTGCAAAGTTGGCCAATTCTACTGTTGTCATCGGCTGGAAAGGTATTAATTAAGAGGTATGAGAAAACTTTGTGAACATGGTTTTGACTCCAACGGCAAGATAGTTGCAAAACTAACAGCATGAGCAAGACCCATTTTAAAGCTTATATATATGTAACAGTGAGACGAATCATCTGGATCACAAGCAACGATGGGAGAAAGTTCCTTAAATCGCAAGAAAACCTCAACTGTCTTGTGGTTGCATTGCAACAAGAAGAAGAATCTGAATCAGGCAGGCAACAAACAAGCCAGCAAACATCATATATACAAAATCGGCATCAGATTCTTGCGACCTACAATTATGAACTCCTCCAAGTAACTGTGGCCAATTAAAGTAAAACAGTATTAGGTTCCTTGGGACGTTACTTCTTCACTCTCGCTTCATCTTGGTGGTATATTTTCTTAAATATCCTAGACGGTTTCCTGACAATATTTCAACTCTCAAGAGCCTTTTTTTTCGCTTATTTTTTCCATGAGCCGCAGCAACTTGTTGACTTCACCGAGGTGTTCATATTTATTGCTGCAAGCTAAGTACACCAAAAGCAATGAGCCAAACGGCAAATTCTGACCTCAGCGACTATATTACGAGAGAGATAAGAAGAATACCTGAGAGAGATACTAGCAAGTTCAAAGCACGTCATAGTGTACAGGATTAAACACTTAACTTCCTGATATGTTCATCCTGTTGGGCTTGAATCGTCGTAAGCATTAATAAATCAGCAATTCATCACTTGGAAAGCCATGTCATTTCCGGCATTTTTTGAGAGCCAAAAGTCCACTACCACGCCTGAAGAGTTTTTTAAGATTCTTTTCTTAAAACTGAAGCAAAACAGCAAACCCAAAATAATTAATTTAAGCCTACGCCGAGATGCTTCTATTAGTCTAGTTTAGCTGATCCATCGCCTGCAATATATGCGGCCACCTCCCTTTTCAGATTCCTCTCTAGCAATGTGAAGCCGGAGATTCATACTCAGACAAAAAGGTGATGGCATGTTACTATATATAATGACAAGGGTGTATTAGTGGGGTTCCTAGTTCGTGGCCTACACTTGAGAAGTGCCTGGACGCAAAGGCTCTTTGGCATCTTATTATCATCCCCCTTGCAACTGGGATCAGATTCAATTCGACCCATCAACTTTCACTTTCACTATCTATCTTTGTGGTCTGGCCACAACACTGCGTACCCGTAAATAGATTTGATTTTACCAATATATTCTTTGTTCCTTTCGAGCTATAACTAATTAATGACCCTTTTCTAGATCATATATAGAGTCTGCGCGCAGCTTTAATTAATGATATGTCGAGTTAAACTTTCAAAGGCATTAATTATTGAGAAAATAAGTGGAAGAGGCAACTCTGAGCTAGCTAGCGTCTATTAAAGTAACCGTACTATTCTAAGATAGGCTTTAGTTAATCCAAGACACAACGTAGATAAGTTCAACACTTGTTCTCTGGCTTAAAGATCACGACGATCAATGGGAGAGAATCTGTATTGAATATTATTGCATTGGCAATTTCAAGAGCAGAAGAGAACAATGCTGTATTGATCGTCCCCACGACAAAGACTTGGGGAGTGTATAATTAACTATTATTATTTCTAAAACGGACAAGGAAAACTTGATTATGAAAAACTGAGAAAAAACTGGCTGTAACAAAAGGGACTCCAACTATCTAAATACCAGATTTTGCGTTTGAACGTGTATGAATACAAATGATGTTTTTGAAATACATATGTCCAATTGCACTAAATAATGCTTAAATTTAACTTAGTACTTGAATAGGAAAAAGAAAGGAAGGAAGGAAAAGGATGGTGCGTTCAATGTTAAAAACACGGAAGCAGAAGTGCGAGTTCTTTAACATTTCAAGATTGCAAGGGAGAGTGAATGCTCAGTTGGATTTTTATTGAATATAATTGATTAAATGATAGATTTTAATTATAATTATGTATATTATAACCAATCTGTTTGGTTACTATTTTTAAAAATTAATTTTAGAATTGAAAATGTTTGAATAATTTATTCAGAATCAATTTTAATTAAATTACCGTAAAGAATATTGCTTTTTAAAATTAAATTATTGATTAATTCGTATCTAATATTTAAAAAGTAAAATATATTATTTAAATTATATATTTGATTAATTATAAACATTTAAATTATATTAATATTAATAATTTTAATTTACATAAATAAATAACTCAATATATTTTAATTTAAATAAATTTAATAAAAGAGAAAGATTTTATTCTTAAATACCAAACATCAATTTTATAGTAACTAATAAAGATGATAATGTACAAGTTGATCTCTAATAGTATCATGAATATGAGCCATATTTAACGAAAATGTGAAGCATTGTATAAAAATTTTAATAACATAAAAAATGTAGCAATATAAGAAATGACCCAAAATCTCTCTCTCTCTGTAGACCTTTGTAGCAATTTTTGTAATAATTTTTAATTTTAAATTAAAATAAATTAATTTCCTCTACGAAATAATATTTTATTTAAACTAATTTTATAATAAGTGCTAAGTAGAGGGTGATAGTTGATAAGAATTTATAGTAATAACTTTATTGAGGATTTAAAATTTGAATTTTATTAAAAAAAAAGGAGAAGAGAGTTTAATTTTATTTTTATTAAATTTTATATTTTTTTATAATTTTTTAACTTTTGTTTATAATTTTTTATATATCTTTGTAATTTGAATACAAAAGCTGCCTCCCATAGCTTTGTGAAAAAAATACCTTTTTTTAAAGTTTATTTTTTGAAAAAATTGCCGTTTGGATTCTTAATTGCAAAATCGATTTTTTTTTCCCTCAAAAAATTGATTGATGAGCAATTCAAACACACACCGAGAATCATAAGCAAAGGGATAGAGTGTCAAACACGGTCCTTCTTGTCGTTTTGCTTTATTCTTGATCCATCATTAGCCCCGTTGACATTTACTTTTATCCGCCGAAACGCAGAAAAAGTCCCTGCGCCAGTTAGCCGCTCGTGACTCATCCATGAAGTCAAAGATAAGGATTAAATTTAAAGATTTTATTTAGATAAAAGTTTAAATTTAAAAAAATTAATATTTAATAAAAATTAAACTTTCACACTCATCTCTTAAAAAAAACACGGGTTTGGATGGCTCTTAAAATTTTATTTTAAAAAAATTAATAATTTTTTAAAAATTAAACTTTTATACTCAACCCTTAAAAAAAAAGGCATGAGTTTAAATGGCTCTTAAAAT